AAGGAGCTGGCACAGGAAGTACCCGCATCACACGGTTCACACTGAGTACCGCCACGTTTTCTGATGGACAAAGGGGAAAGAGATGTTAGTGGTAGATGTTAGTGACAGATTTATGCCAAGTTTTGTGACAACACAAAAGCAACCAAGTACTTTGGGGAAGAGCCACATTCCACAGCACCAAGGTCTTCAGAAAAAAGACACATACTGACGTGCCATAGGACGGCTTCCTATCGGGTGTCAGCTCCAGCTGGTTCTCACAGTTCAGGAACCATGTGCTAAAACTCTTCATGTTTCAGTCAAGAGTCAAAGGGATCAAGGAAGCCACACTGAGTGTGCATCCCTGAGGTGACATATTACAGATTTTCTTTGAAACGTCTGTGCTGGGATGTGTGCCTTGGGCTTATAAAGCCTGTCTGCATATTGTAGTCTGGAACTCTCTCAGAGTGCCAAAGCAGTGTCTTGTTCCCATACCATTTTGTGCTCCGGCATTGCTGCAATAACTACACCATAGGAATGCCCAAGCAGTTCCCAGAACCTTCCCTCTTGTTCCCCTTTGCTATGCACCAGGGGGCATGTGGCTTCAAGCACAACTGTGACATTTTAAAACCTTTTTTTTGCAAAGGTTGGACACTGCCTTGAGAGCTGTGTACTGTTCAATGTGAAAGACTTTTCGATTTCATAAAATCATGTTTTTGGCAAAAAGCACATTCATAGAAATTGACCCCCAGCTCATCTTTTTAAAATGACTTTCTAGCTGCTGTTCTTTCCGTGGAAAGAGCACACAGTTGTTGGAGATGTAGTGTGGTAGATTGGGTGAAGGGTGTGCTAATCTGGATTATTATTTACTGAGAATCTGGTGGATCATCATGGCATAGAGAGGATGGGCCTGGGGCTCACCAGCAAACACCCTAGTCCCACCACTGCCCAAAGGACATGGAGCAGAGTCTCAACTCTGAGTCCCAGTTTCTGTTAAGTGGGATTTTTGCTCCTTTCTTCCCAAGGTATCCAAAGAATAAATGAGATGATCTGTAGGGAAGGCCTAAAGCAGTCCCTGGTGCAAGTAGTCCTCAGAGTGATGGTAGATGATCAGAGTTATGACCCTTCACTCCTGCTACAGTTTTAGGATAGAGATAGTGGCAGCATTCCTCTAAACACCATTGCAGTGTTCTAGTTTGTTCGCTGTTGCTTTGGTAGAATACCAGGACCAGAAACAGCTTAAGGAAGGAAGTGTATTTTGGCTCATGGTTCCTTGGGGGTAGTGTACAGGAGCAGGAAGCTGAGAGATCACATCTCAGCAGCACATAGGAAACAAAAAATGAACCAGAAATGGGATGAGACTATAAATTCTCAAAGCCCATCCCTACTGATGTGCTTCCTGCAGCAGGGTTCCACATCCTAAAGGTTATATAGCTTTCCCAAACAGAACCATTTACAGACCATGAGTTCACATACATTAGCCTATGGGGGCATGTCTAGTCAAACCCCATAGTCAATATCATACACACAGTCAGACATCATACAGCCCTTGGCTCATGGACTCCTCAGACAACCCTCTGAGGTTGATGCTGTTATTATCCCCATATTACAGATGAAGAAACAGACAGAGGTTAAATAAGTTGGCAGTGTCATAAACTAAATGACTCAGCCAGGACCTGGACCAAGGCAATTGAGCCAAGCCTAAGCTGTCTTGCCTCTCACTTGGGTCCGGTTTGCTCTCATTGCATGGAAGCTATTGATCTGACCTTTTTCGGAGAGGGTATGTGAAAGTCTTCCTCTGCAAGATCTCTTAGCTAATTCCCTGGCAAGAATTTAGGTCTTGAGTCGTATCTTCAGCAAAAGAACCTTATCTTCCCCAAAGCCAAAACCCGTCAGCCCCTCAGCAAGTTTAGAGATGGTTTGCAGCTTGTTCTTTCCTTCCTAGGGAACAGTCGAGACACCCAGAACAGATAGTAACCCCGAGTGGAGTTCACTTCCCAGCAAATTGAGAGTGATAGGAAAGTTCTTTTTTTGTTTGTTTGGTGTTTGGTTTTTCAAGACCGGGGTTTTCTATGTAGCCTTGGCTGTCCTGGACTCGCTTTGTAGACCAGGGTGTTCTCCAACTCACAGAGATCTGCCTGCCTCTGCAGCCTAGGATTACAGGCATGTGCCACCATGCTTGACTGGAAAGTTATTAAAGAAAGATTGCTGTGGGCATAGTAGCTCAACAGATAAAGGACCATGTGATAGAAGAACAACAACTCCTCCACATTGTCCCCTGATTGTCACACACTGGGCTATGATGTAGGTGTCACCACACATACAAAGTTGTGGCTTGTTGTTGTTGTTGTTGTTTAATGAAAGGTGGAAAGATCTTGGATAGGAAGATAAGGAGATCTCCTTTGCATTGGGGCCTGTATTATCATGGACCAGATTATAGCCATAGCTCAGGGAGTTGGTGAAGTTCATCAGAGGCCTGTATTACCATGGACCAAAGCACAGCTATAGCTCAGGGTGTTGGTCAAATTCATCGGGGGCCTAAATCACCATGGACTGGAACACAGCCATAGTTCAGGGTGTTGGTGAAGTTCATTAAAATAAATTATTTTAGGTCATTTTCATTTTGAATTTATGTAAACCACAAGTCAAGTGATTCTGAACCAGATGAATCCACAAATCTATAAAAATCTATATTTATGATGTAAGCTGTGACCTCTGTAATTGGCCAGTAATTTATAGTTTGCAGGAGGAGGAAAAGCTCAGGGCTCCGGAATGATAAATCCAAAAAGACCTTGGGTCATATTCCCCCTCTTTCTGCTTCTTAACTGTGATCTTGGGCAGGTTTCTTCCTGGGGTCCTGTCTGTAAAATGGGCCACTACAGCTGCCTTTCACAGTCCAGTAGGAGCAAAGTGTGTTTGTTTGGCAGGTAGTAAAAACAAGAGAAAATATCCTAAAAGCCACAGGAAGATACATGCTTTTAATAGATACATGATTTTAATAGAAAGATTTGAACAAATAGCATATAAAAGTGTTGCACAGAGTTGCTTTCAGGATTAGGGACCCTTAGCTCCCCTGACTTCCCTGATCTCTGCTTCCCAGGAAGTTGTAGAGACTGGAAATTAAAAAAAAAAAAAAAAAAAAAAAAAAATCAAAGAAAAGCAACCTAAAATTTCCTGTGCAGTAGCCAGGCCTTGGTTCCCAGTGGTCAGGAAAGGGAAGACAGACATGCTGGCCACCTTCCCACTTGAGAACCCCAGTACCTATGCAGTTCTGAGAGTACCCCTGCCAGGGTACTGAGTGACTTAGGATGAAACTGCATGAATGGATCTGTTTCAGTTAAATTATTGCATGTGAAAGGCTCTTCCAAGATCCACACTATGTGTGGTTTAAAAAAAAAAAAAAAAAAAAGACACAGAAATTGGAAACATTTTAGGTATCTGCAACCTTTTAGGTTATAAAAATAGCCTTTGTTGTATGGAAATTTGGAAAACCAAAGGTGTGCATAATTCTATTGTTGTAATGTAACAGCAATTCACACTGTAGAAACAGCTTTCTTATCCCTGTACATTTTTACAACTGTAATTATTCCATAAAAATTGTGCCTTAGTTTTTTAAAATAGCATGCTGTAAACATTTTTACAATATTAAATAGCTTAGTATTACTTTTAATGTCTCAGTAGTATTCCAAAATACTTCATTTAGCAGGCTCTTTGTTATCAAATCTAAGTTGTTCCAAATTTTGAGTGTATCATAAAACTATCAGATGTTAATATCTGGGGATTGGGGGTGGCTTGGGGATTGCTTCCAGGACCTCCATGGACACCTGAATCTGTAGGTGCTCAGGAACCTTTTATAAATGGTGTAGTGTTTGCATGGCACACTCTCCCCATAGCTCTGATCTCTAGAGTACATTCAATGCCTGGTACAACGCAGACACTGGGTGGTTGCTGCATGGAGGGTGAGGAATGATGAGAGAGAGTCAGGAGAGTATAAACACAACTTTTACCAAGTGTTTTCAGTCTGCAGTGGTTGAACACACACAACACAGACACAGGGGGCTGATGGTTATAGTTAAACTTTGTACCTAGATCCCACTGTAAATTATAGAAGTAGGTGCCTGCTGACACATTGCACTGCTGGAGGTGCTGGGAATGGAGGCTTAGTCCTGCACTGTCTCTGCTGCCATCCTCAGCTCTCACACCTTCTTCTATCTGACCAAACACACCTTTTAGAGTCAGAGTAATGAGGCACAGTTTGAATCTGATCTTTTGACCCATTAGGTGTTAATTGATATTTAGGTTGACAAAGAAATAATGAATAAATGTATAAAATGTTCTGCTGTCTTCCTAGATCTGCCATAACCCTTAGGTACAACAGGATGGGTAGAATTCTTGGTTGCCAGAGTACTGAACCTATATCTCCAATGTTTCCACAAGTGTGTCAGTAAAAGCTTGAACAATGTCTTTCCACTACCAAATCCAGAGCTGGAGAGTCACTCTGTAACTTAGACTTTTTGAACTATCTTAGCGTTCTGTACATAGCTCCTAATTGTAACTGGTTAATATGCAGTGATAATTATGAATAAGTGCCTTGGCAGCAGTGCCTTCTGTGGAGCCCTAGGTGTCTTGGAACTCAGTGTAGACCAGGCTGGCCTCAAACTTACAGAGATCTGCCTGCCTCTGTCTTGTGAGTGTTTTATCCATGTCATCTTGGTCTTCATCATACTTCTTGTAAGGGTCCCTCTCTGCATATAGGAAACAGGTGCAAAGAGGATGGTAACCTGCTCCATATCAGAGAAATGGGGGAATTGTGTGTGCCTCCAGTTCATTCTGACTTAGATATCTTACGTGGTGTGTGGGAAAGAGCTGACTCTGCCAGGGTGAGGAAAGCCAGTTTCTGCCATCTTAGTTACACCCTTGTGACAGATGTTTTTCCTTTGACTTTCCCCAGTGTGTGGTAATTTCTGAGTGTTACATTCACCATTTCAGACTTCCCCCTTCCTCCTGCCCCTTTGATCTTCCAGGCCCTCAGTACCGCCTGGAGAAGCAGAGCGAGCCTAACATCGCGGTGGACCTGGAGAGCACGCTGGAGAGCCAGAACGCCTGGGAGTTCTGCCTGGTCCGCGAGAACAGTACGTTGGCTGTCTCACTCTGTGCTGCTTTGCCTGTTGCAAACATGATGAGGAGTGACATGTTTGAGAGTACTTGCTGGCCTGGCTTCCCTAAGCAGATGAAAAGAAACTGTTTTCCAGAGTGGACCACAGCTAGAAGTGTGTCCCAAAGTAGAATGATAGATTCTGTGCTGTTCTGTAGTCTGCATCCTGTTTAGTGCTCTGTGATTAATAGTTTGCTCTTGAATTACATCTTCCTAATTTTGGAACAGCCTTAAGAGGCACTTTCTCAGGCAAAGGCTCTTTTGTGTATACAGCGACTGGCCTTGTCAGTGTCCACTGCTTAACATCATGTTTTGGAAAAATTTAACCACTTGAATATTCTCAGCAGAAAGCATCAGAGTGACTGCAAGTACCACATTGATGACTGAATTTCTTTTCTTGTCTCCAGTTTCTGAGTTGTGAGGTTCTGTCACCCCTCTGCTAGATGCTCCCCAAACAAGAGGCGATAAACTGCCCACAGCCAGTCCTGCTCCTTAGCTGTTTCTTCTGCCTGAAGTGCTCTTTCTCTCCTCATCCTTGTCTCAGTTTTATTGTCATATCCACAGAGATAGCCCCATCACTCAAACCTGGTTCATTCCTCATCTGGGCTCCCAGGATGCTATCTCAGAGCACTCTGTTTTTCCTTCATAGCATGTACTTCTGTTATTTATTTTGCTTAATAACTGGCTAATGTCTACCTCCCCCCACTGAACTATAGGTCTTTGAGGCCATTCCTGACCCATACTAGTTGTTCCTCATTAACTCAGCAGTCTCCTAAGGACTACATCTTACAGGAGCTCAGGGGAACCAGACTGGATGAGTGAGTAAATAAAAGGTCTTTAGTCCTGCCACTGACTCTCAGTGTAGATCAGACTGCTGCTTTTTGCCCAGAGCCTTTGGTTGCCTCTCCTGGAACAGCGTGCACACATTTACCAAGAAAGGGAAATGTAGTTTTGCCACTTAGAGCATACTCTCAAATATAAAGATTGATGGCCTCACTATCTGCAACTGGTTATAAGAATCCTATGTAAGAACATGTAAAATTAAAACTTAGTGGTGCCTACATGTAGGTAAGTAATAAATGTTTATGAATGTGTGTTCCTATCAAGAATCTAATATTCAAGTATTTTTATGCAAAATCTGATGTCCTCCCCTAATCAGAAATATTCCTGCTGGACTAGGCATAGTGGCAGTGTGCATGGGAGGCCGAGGCAGGGATATTCAGGAGTTCAAGGTTATCAATAGCTATGTGAATCTAAGGCCAGCCTTCATAAGACCATATCTCAACTAAAATAGATAAATCCTTATGGGTGGGGAGAATCTGAGGATATTGGTGCCCTTATGATAGCTTGGTGTATCAAGAGGTCTAAGAACTTTTTACACAAGATTTCCACTTTGGGGAATCTACCTTGAGAAAAGAGCTGAAATGCAACCAAGAGTTATGTTCAGTGATATTTTTCATAGTGTTTTGGGGATTTATGTGGTTTGGGTTGGGTTGGGTTGGATTTTTTGGTTGTGGTTGGTTTTTTTTGTTGGTTGGTTGGTTGGTTTTTTTTCAAGACAGGTTTCTCTGTGTAGCCTTGGCTGTCTTGGACTCACTTTGTAGACCAGGCTGGCCTCTAACTGACAGTGATCTGCCTGCCTCTGCCTCCCTGAGTGCTGGGATCAAAGGTGTGCACTACCACACCCAGTTTACAGTTTCTTGATATGCTGAATGACCACAATAAAATTAGCCTAGAAATCAAGAAAAGAGAGAGAAAATCTGTATGCATTTGGAAATTGAGAAGTAAGTGTCAGCGCCTGTGAGTGAAAAAAGAATAATAGTAGAAATTAGAAAATATTTTGATGAATTGGTGAAAATCATGTATGTTAAAGATTATGGATATGGCTACAGCAGCATGTAAGAAAGTGTTGCAGAAGCCTTCAGATTTATATATTACAAAAGAAAAGTAATGAACTGAGAATTCAGCTTTAAAAAGTATATCAAAACAAAACAAAAAAAAAAGCCTAAGAGACTGAAAGGAGGTAGAAAAGATCAGAAACTATTGAGCTAGAAGACCCAGAAACACCAAAAAGACTCATAAAATCAGTAAAAGTCTTTTGAAATGGATCAAAGTCAAGGAAGAAAAATATCAGAGAAACATAGGTAGTATAAAGGCGTGAAAAGGAGACACATAACAGATCCTACAATCATCAAAAATACAGCACAAGGGGTGTACATATGTGTAAATTCCCTTACCTGTACATAAGCATAGGAAGCCAGAGCCTGACATCAGCTGTAGTCACTCCTGCAGTCAGTCTCCCTGATCTTTTGAAGCAGGGTCTCACTGAACCTGAGTTCATGGCTCTGACTGCCTAGCCATCAAAGCCCAGAGATCCTTCTATCTCTCATCCTTGTGCTTGCATCGCCACTACTTTACCCACTAAGCCATCTCCCCAGCCCAGACAAGATTATTTTGAAAAAGTTCACAGTAAAAATGTAGATGAAAAGAATGAATTCCTGGAAAAAGTGAACATCAGGATTGGCACAAAAAGAAATATGGATGTTCTGGTTAATTTTGAAATTTAATTAGTGTTTGAAAACCTTCCACAAAGAGAACTGAAGTAAGACATGGGGGGACACCTGCTGCTCCAGGGAGATTGTTCTGGAGCTTGTGGGTGACATGAGGCAGTATAACTTTGGTACTTAACCCCAGTAATGAGCACCACACAAGACAGAAACATTTCAGACCAATCTTAGAGAAATCCAAAAAAATCCCAAACAAATCATTAATACATCAAGTCCAACATTTTATTGGAATCATACTCCATTGCTAAGTTGGATTTACTCTAGAGTGCAGAATTACTTCAATGTTAACCACACCTGGATGATGTAATTTGCTGCAGTAATGGTAAAAGGAGGGGGGAAATGTAGATACAGAATTTTATCCATCCATCCAACCATCCATCTGTTATTTCTGCCATTAAATGTTGTACTTAAGTGTTGAAGAGATGGTTTAGCAGGTAAGCATGCTTATATAGAGAGTGTAGGTTTGCAGAGGACCTAGGTTTGGTTCCTAACACAGCTGGCACCTCACAACAGCCTGTAACTCCAGCTTATGGCCTCTTAGGACACCTGTACACACGTTTGTACACATATACACACACAAATAAATTCTTAAAGAAATAAGTTGTGTTTAGCAAGTTTGGTGATCTGCACCAAGGATAGTCATCTTGGTGTAGCATCAAAGGGAAGAAATGTCAGCGATGTACTGGCACACACAGATGTGTTCACACTTGGACTTGTGAAAAGTTTTTTTTTTTTTCTTTTTCTGGAAATCGAAGTATAGGAATTAAGCTTCGATTGCTTCTTCCATCCTGTTTCTCCTCCCATAGATAACAGGTGTCTTTCCAGGGATGGTCTGTGCACATTCATATGTAAGGGAATAGTTAAGTGCATATGCAAGTACACATACACACATTCATGTTTGTATTTTCTCCCAAAAAAAAAAAGAAAGAAAGAAAGAAAAGAAAAGAAAGAAAGAAAAACAGTGATGACTTACAGCATTGTTATTTTATCATCTTAATGGTGCACTGGAATTTACTCTGCACTGATTCACATACTCTACATGTAAATCTATATGTTCCTTAACTGCTGCTACTGCTCCATAGCTTTTTATGACACAGCTTGCTCTTGTTTTTAAATGAGGCCCAGATTTCTTAGATTAGGAAGAAAAGGAAGAAAAAAAAAAGGTTGTGAGGATTAGTGAGTGAAGCTGTGGCTTGTAGGCCGTAGCTCTTACTCCACAAGTCTCAGCTGTGTAGCCTTCCCGAGCCCAGTACTCCTCTCCCCAAGGCTTTGTCCTGTGGTACAGTTCTGGTGTTCCGAGTCAACACTACTGCAAATGAGGAAGAAGGAAAAACAAACAAAACCCAAAACACCACTGTTTGCGAATGATAAAGGCCGAAAGCAGTCAGAATTTGATGGACTATTGTGAGTTAGTTGTATAAAATAAAAGCAAAATATGAAAAGCATATTATTTTCATAAAAAAATGTTTAAAAACTAACTAGGGATCCCAACTAAGAAACATATTGTTCTCTACTAGCCATCTACAAAGAAGCTGGATCAACACAACAATATTTCAAAACTGGACTTGTTTGCTTTTCACTGTTTTGGTATGTTTGGTCAGGCCAAGTTCACTACCCTTCAGAGCCATGTTCAAGCCATGCATTACAACACACATTGGAAACTGTTCTTTCCTGTCCGTGGCTTCCTGTCATGCCCTTACTACTCTGAGAGCAGTAGCATTTTATTGAAACTGTGGGCAGTTTAGCTGCCTCCATGCTGCTCATGACAGGAGTCACTGTGTTCTCATCTGAGGCTCTTAGGATAGTACCTAGTGCATAATTAGCATCGGGGAATGTTGGCTTTAACTAAGAAATAATGTAGGGTAGCTCTCTGTGGCTGGTAGAGCATTAGGGCACAAGGTGTGGTGGTCTGGAACCCATGGAGCTGTCAGAGCCTTTGCCATGATGGACAGAGAAGAGTGACCTGGAATGGAGGACCAAGAGAAAGCAGGGTGCTTTCTGGCACTGGCTTGAAAAACCCATAACATAAATAGCAGCTTTTCAGCTTTTCTTCAGAGGAATGGCTCTTAATGTTTTGGGTTTGGGGGGCAGAGTTTCTCTGTGTAGCCCTGGCTGTCCTGAAAGTCTCTGTAGACCAGGCTAGCCTAGATCCTCCTGCCTTTGCCTCCCAAGCACTGGGATTAAAGACATGCATCACCACTGCCCAGCTGGTTCATGACATTTTTTAAAGTAGTCACACCCAACAGTGTTTTAAAGTCTTTTATTGATGCCTACATGATCTTGTACGGAACATTTTCCAAGTGCTTCCTCCCATTTTTTTAAACTCTTCTACAGACATTATTCTCATTGTAAGAAGACTTTCCCAAAGCTACCCAGCTAGAAACCACATAGCACCAAAACCTGAAGTCAA